TGCAGGAAAAATACCACGTTTTTCAATGTGGGACATATATACCAGTGCGATATTACTAAACCATAAGAAAAGATGACATGCTGCCATTTGTGACAAAATGGATGGATCTTGAGAATATCATCCTAAGTGAAATAAGTCTGATGGGAAAAGTCAATAAGTATATGATTTCATTTACATGTTGGACATAAAACTGAAAAGAAGAAGAGCAAACAAATTCATAGACACAGACAACGGTATTACTGGTGGTTACCAGAGGGAAAAGGGAGTTGGAGAAGTAGAAACAGGTAAAGGGGTCAAATATATGGTGATAGAAGATGACTTTGGGTGAACACAGTGCAGTGTACAGATGACGTATTATAGAATTGTACACTTGAAACCTATATAATTGTGTTAACCAACATCAGCCCAATAAATATAATTTAAAAAATTTAAATTTTTCAAGAATTTTTGTTTTCCAATATATTTTTTATTAAAATATTAATTATGTAACATAGTTTTATAATTATTCGATTTAAATAAATTATTAAAAACTTAAAAAGTCTTTTTTTTGTATTCTAAATATCAGTAGAAATGATGTAAAAAATACCTATTTGAGATTCTGTATAATTTTTAATAGTGTAAAGAAATTTTGATAATGTATGGTATAGAGAAATCCAAATATAATTTAGGAGGTGGGCATAGTTTTATAATCCAAAATGTACATGTTTTGGCTAAAGCAGTATTTTGATTTAAAGTGTTTTTCAAATTGTTGCATTAAAGTAGTTTATGTGGTTATCAGACTTTGTATTGTCATTATTTTGAAACATTTCTAAACCTTCATTTTTATTTTATGTCTTTAAAATACAACAGAGAAGTGTAAAATGAAACAAAATGTTTGCAAAGTTGTACAATTTTTTTGTGGAACATTAGTGTATTTTTTTTTTTTTAATTAACCAAGACCAGTTTCCTGAGCAAGCTAAGTAAGGTGTAAGAATGCTGAAAAAGATGTTCTGTGTCAATCCAGAATATTCCTGGTATCTTACATACACAGAATGAATATTTCATATTTGACTTAATGGATATAATTTTATTTAAAAAATTGTAATGCTATATAGTCCATTGCCCATTTGGAATGTGAGTATTAATTCGCTGTAATGAGAGCCCTTTGCCTATTAGTGGTAACTATTTGTTTTGGAGCATATGATGGCCAAGTGGTTAGAGCGGTTTCTGATTTCTTGTAAGCAGCGGTCACCATCAGGTTTCTCCATGGCGGTCCAGAATCGGGGAGGAAGCTCCTCAAGCCCCTGAAGCATTGCTCACTGAGCCTGCAGCCCCTCCTGCCTGTCCTGCTCTGCTTCTCCCAGGGCTCCCCACCCCCAGGGCCTCCCTGTGGCCCAAACCCCCAGCTCTGCACTCGCAGGAACACGAGTAAGTCCCCCTCCCCCCCAGCACAGCCAGGGCTGGGATCTTGGCCACATAGTTTGACATAACAACACTACTCCTATTTTTTGATAGACTCTGGCCTTTATTCCCTTGTAAGCAGATGTTGCACACATTTCAATATACATGGCATCCAGTAAATAATGCATATTTTTATTTATTATTTAGGGAAAGTGAGTCTAATTGAGATATAGACTTTTCTTAGGAAATTTAAGAATTTCTCAGTTACTGGAAAATATGTTTTGTTTCAATAAAATGCTCAGAAAACATTACCACTTTACTCTTTCAGATTACGCCAAAGTTACTAATCTAAGCTTTGTGTTTTCCCATCTCTTCCTGAAGACAATTTTATAATTTGGGTGTGTCTATTTTACATTTTAAGATTTATTTCATGCTTCTCTAGATTTTTTGAAGAGTCTGTGACTTCATGATGTCAGAAAGAAGCAAATTTAGGCCCTGAGATACATAGCCATTGTTGGTCATGAAAAGTAAATATTCTCCCCATTTACTAGGATCTTATATTTTTTTTAGAGCTGACATAGTCTGTTCTCTTCTGCTTTCTGCTTCTGTGACTTCAAGTGTTTATAAGTTGCTAAGTTTATATACTTTTGCCCTATTTTCCCAAACATACTGTTTCCCTGAGTGTTCTTCTCATCTACATCCTCCTACCCAGTTTCCTTCCTTCAGAGACTTGAGGTAGCAGTTCTCGGAGTGCGTCCAGGGACCTCTGGAAGTCCCCGAGGCCCTTTTAGGGACCCCAAGAAGTCAACTATTTTTATAATAATGCTAAAACATAATTTGCATTTTTTACTTTCATTACCTTACACGTGTACTGTGAAGTCTTCCAAAGGCTATATGAAATGTATGCTTATATATTGTTTTGTCTTACATTTCCTAGTTTAATTTCTGCTATGACAAATACGGGCGGCTGTAACCGCGTTAGCGAGGCTCTGTGGGAGTGGAGGACTCAATAATCTTTCAGAGCGTAAATGGGAGGCTGCAGCTGCTTGCAGGATGTTGATGATGGTGGTTGCACAGTGTGAATATCGAGTGCGTGAGAACAAAGTGAAAATATCTCATATTGAGAAAGGCTATATGAAATTTCCACGGTCGTCCTCATACCAGAAAATAATCTTTTTTAAGGACTTGCAGTATACATCCTATATGGTTTTGCTTTCCAAGTAGCATTTAGAAATATTTATTATATTTAACAGTATCTGGAAACACATGGGTTCCCTCTTCCCATGGATTGCAGTACAAACATGCTCCCAATACTAAAGCTGGCTCAGGGGAAACACAAGAAAAATGTAATTTCACACCTGACTTGCACGTAAATGTCAGGCCACAGAAGTGTCATCTTTTCACAACCGACAATGACTTTTTTCCATGTCTGTAGCCTTTATCTCACCTTATAAATGATTGTGGTACAAAAGATAGGGATTCATTCACACATAGCCAGGCTGTTACTGCCCTGATAGTCTGAAGGGTTAGCCTAGGATGGAAACCAGGGCCTGGAGTGTTCTTGTTCTTTGGCTTTGAGATCTACCAAAAGCTAGAAGTACGAGTTCTCCATTAAATGTTAAGGACTTAAATTCTCTCAGTTTACTATCAAATTATTTCAGCTGCATTACTATATAGATTACATGAATCACAACTGAGTTACATAGTAAATACTCAGTGAAAGACTGCTGGGTCTGTAAATACAAAGAACACACCTGCCATCTCCTTCTCTCCACTAATCAATAATTTATCAGTAATCTTTGTCACAGAACCTTAGAAACCTCAACACAACTACTAACATCAAGCAGAGCCGGCTCACAGATGCAGACCTACTTTCTATCTTGGGCTTCTGCCATACTACTAGTCTGGGGCATGCAGTAACCATAGTGATCTAATTTTAGAGGCAGCTTTTAATTTTAATATGTTTAGAAATAATTAAGATGAAAAAGGTAGAGTAGCAAAATTTATATACAAGTTACCCCGCTTGAATGTATCCACTATTTCAAGAAAAAAAAATTAAACTAACTGGAAAAATGAAATTGCATTTCTAAGTATTTTGCATTTTGTTTGTAAAAACTAGTAAATGGAGTGGGTTTTCTCACTTGTAGGCTCGAGTGTCCTGGTGTCTAGACAGTTCCTAGAGAGCAAAGCGATGTCTGGAGCTCTTTTTAGGTAGGACAGGAAGTTAAACACGTCCAAGTATCCTGACCTTTAGGTTATTTTGTTCCTGTGACCTAATGGAAAAATTGTGACAATTTGGAAGAATGGACTCAAATGCCTGTTCTGATCACCTTTAATCAAAAGATGGCACGGTAGCCAGGGCCTGTCCTTGGCAGCCAGCCATTTGCCTTTAGAAAAAATCTTAGCTATCAAAACATTTGCCTTCCTGTTCTGATCAGTATGAGTTTATTTTTGTTGCTCACAAGAACAACATAGCTACATCATTTACACAGGCCATTGAAAAAAAAGATTTTCAACTCCTTTCAGCTGTTTTTTCAGAATATCAGACAAGGAAGTTTTCAAACAATACTCCAGAACACCTGCTAAGATTGCTCTGCCATATTGTGAGCCTGTTAAACTTTTTGGCATTGGTATGTAGATCAACTTGGAGTGTTCCTTTGATTTTGTGTGGGTCACAGGCAATATTGACCAAAGACCTGGCACACAGAGATAACATACAACACATTATCTAGCATGTAGTCTAACTCTTGGTGCTTCTCAAACTTGAATGTGTATACAAATCACCAGGGAATCTTGCTAAGTTGCAGATTCTAACTTGGTAAGTCTGGGGCGGGGCATAGAGCCTGCAGTTGTAACAAACATCCCTGTGGTGCTGATACAGCTGGTCTGCAGACCACACTTTAGTGCAAGTACTTTTTACTCCTCTCTATTTAAACTTCCCAATTTGTTTTGTTTTCACTCTAACAAGGTGAGAAAGACTTCAGGCTTGAGACCAACAGTTATCTGAAGCAGTTTCATCTGGTCCCCTTGGGATGGATAAAGAGGAGGTAGCCCATTGGATCCTCCCCCAGGAGCACATTATTGATAAGTTGTAGTGAAGGTAAAGATAAGGTGATATGCTAGTTCAGAGAAGTATGAAAGTACTGTGTCACTGAGTCTGTTTTCCAGAAAGATCATACAGGGCCACCTCTCTCCTCCTCCTCCATGGCTTCCTGCTTCTATACCAGATTTCTGCTCTGTGTGATTTCTCCTGGGACCAGGTTTTCTTCTCACAATTTCCATGGTATAAACCACACTTTTACCACTTGTGAATGGGAAATCCGGATACTTTATTGTTGCTACCTCTGTGATTAACTGGTTTTCTCAATTTTGAAAAAGGCCAATTTTGATGGCCTCCTTTGAGGTAGATACATTCCAAAGTTTAATGTTTCTTTGGTTTTGAAAAACTGGACCTGAACTGCCTTTAGTTGAGATTCAGCTGCTTTTAACTCAACCCTTGTGCAGATCATCATCTTTCCAATGCTCTTTGATTTTATTGTTTCATCATCTCTTCAGCATTTTGAAATAATTGTGGAACTTTTTAGCACTTTAGAGTAACAATGGTTTAAAATGTTTGCTGTTCAAAGATGTTTATTTGATTTTATAAAAACCCAACTAAATCATCAAGTATTCTATTTGAAAAGCCACTATTATCTCACTTCATTCTTTACACACCCCACACATCTCACATTCAATCTATATCAGATCTTGTTGCTTTTACCTTTAAATATACACGGAATCCAACCACTTCACCCCAACTCCACCACCACCATTCAAGACCAGCGCCATCATGCTTCAGCTGTGCTTCTGCGGCAGCATAATGCTTAATGTTCGCTTCTGTCCTCTCCAGCCCCGTGCAGGTAAGAAACAGTTTAGGTAGGGTAAGATAAGAGCTCAGGGAACTTGGGGCGAAAAGGAGTTTCCTAAGTTCTTAAGGTTATCTATGACAGGTTATTCACAGAATCTGTGTTCGGTTCATGCATTGATGTCACCAGTATTTGTTTAGAGTCTTCGTACTTCCGTCATCAGTTTCTTCTTTTCAACTGTTTTCCTTCTAGTACCTACTGTGGAATTTACAAGGACAGTTTTCCTTGCCTGTGCCTATGAAGAATTGGCCAAAATAACTATGAGTTTTTGAATACCATCTTTCATCTGTATCTAGTTGGAGGGGTGTGTGTGTGTGGTTTTTAATAGAACAATAACAAATGCCTTAAAATTTAGAAAGAGCTTTTACAAATAACTGTTACTTGTAACTACTCTGCTGTGAATTCAAGTATAAAAGCGTAACTTTGCTCAGTTAATAAGTGGTTGGTAGCTGTCCACTCTCTGCAAAAGTGTATCTGAATATCCAGGAGAATAGTACCTGAAAAAGAAAAATTTTTATTAGAAACGGGTAAAAAGATTCAGCTCAATAGACACAAATCATTCAATATAAGGTTTATCTGAAATAGTTCTGTGACTGAAACCTCTGAGTAGTATGCTCTAGTAATGCTTTGTGCACAAGGTTAGAGCCTGACAAGAAAACCAACTCACAAGACTGTGCTAGATAAACAACAAAACATTTTAGGGATATCAGTGCAGTGGCAAAGAGTGGATATTTTCAAAGCAAGATACTTGGATCCAGTGATATTATGTTATATTAAAGCGACTATGTTTTTATTATGTCAAGTTGCTGATGTTGCTTTAATTATCGTAGCTTATAGATTTTTTCATAAGTTAGTCAACACAGTCTATTATTACTAATCAACTTGTGCATTCAGATGGTCTTAGAGATTATTCTCAATATATGTTTTAATCAGATCTGGTCACCCATAAAAACAAAAATTTCTGGGAGCATAATTTATATTAATTATTTCAAAAATGGTTTACAGATATTCCATCACACAATCCTAGGAAATTAGTCAATTCATTTGCTCTTGGGCATCTATAGTACTATAAATTTATACTTGTAAATAGAACATTTTATGAACCATTTAATAAAAAAGTATTAAATATATTGATAAATGCATTGTGGGATGCTTCATATACCATGGGACGAATTTACATGCATATAAAAAGATGTCAAATAAAATTTAGCAAACCTTCTAGAATATAATAAATGACTAAAGATCTAAACTATAATTTAAAATTTTCCAAAACACTTAAAATAAGTAAGCTGCCTAAAGTATTTTTTCAGATAAAACCTGATGTTTGAGAATTTCTTTTCCTTTGTTAGTTATTTTTATCCTCAGGTGCTTGATTTAAAAACTCATCATTGAGAGTATACTAATTTCTTCCACAATTTGTCAAGTTGTAGTGAGCAAAACAGAGCTTTATTTCCTCAGTATTGTGCTTTTATAGGTAGCCATAGTTAAACAGATACCAAAAAACAAACATAAAAAGCTACCTTGAATGTTTTTCCTCTAAAGGAAAACTCTTGAACAAATTGTCCTTCGACAGTGGATCTCTTCAGAGTATTCATACACTGAGGAAGTCACAACAAGTCTGTGTGTCTGGGTTAGTCACACATTTTAAAGTAGCCCTCACCTTCCAGGGCCTTACAAGTATGTCAGACACAAGGTAGGTATTTTGTTATGTAAATAGCAAGAAGTAGATTAAAAATAAAACCCCCAAATTTTAAAAGTGTGCTACTGTCTGGTAGCTGCTAACCACATACTCCTCATAAAAGAACCAAAATGAACTTCCAAAAAAGAACAGAAAATTACTTTTCTCTGCCCATCAACCATTGCTATCTCAATTTACCTCTGTGTGACCTTTAAGAATATAAGTGAATTAACCTTACCTTAGACCCATGTAGAATTTGGGTTATTATATAGTTACCATATCAGAAATGTGCCAAATGTATGCATGCCTCTCTCCCCAAATTAGATGTACCCTAAAAGCATCTTCCCCTCCCCAGTTTAGGCAGAGACCCAGAAGACAGAAGAGTTCCCAAAACACCTTTGGGGGTGGTGTTGACAAGACTAGAACTTAGATCGTCTAACGTCTACCCCTAGGTCCCTTCTCTCTCATCATACCTACAACATTTATTAGAAATTTTGGAAGATTACTGAAGTTGGAAGGTGATCTGAAGTAAATGTTCAGGCTAAAAAGAGCAGAGAGAATGTGGCCATTGATAATCTGTCTCATAAAGAAGAATTAGTTCTGAAATAATCACCAAGTGATTCTTGAGAATATGATTGCAAAAATAAGACCATTTTGAGATTATGTTGGTCTCTTTCCATAGAAAGACAATGTTTCAAAGATTTCTATAAAAACAATTTTATAGAAGTTTTAAATGCTTTAAAAAATATACTAGAGCCCAGCTGCTGTGGCTCAGTGGTTGATTGTCGACCCATGCACCAAGAGGTCGCCGGTTCAATTCAGGGCACATGCCCAGGTTCTGGCACAGATCCCCAGTGGGGGGCACGCAGGAGGCGACCAGTGTTCTCACTCATCAATGTTTCTATCTCTCTCTCCCTTTCCCTTCCTCTCTCTAAAATCAATAATGAAAAAAATTTACACACACACACCAGAAACTTGAAAAATTCAGCTAACCAAAATTCTTCAAGATAATTAGCCAATTAAAATCCCATATCATAGAATGTTAGAAGTTAAAAATTTACAATGGCATTTTGACAAAGCACCAAATGAGATTCTAACTTGAGAATTTTTTTATTCTCCCTTATGTTCTGAAAAATAAGCCTAGTAAGGAGTAGAAAGATTTCTATTCAAAAAAGTTCTTTGCCATTGGTTAATTCTAAAAGGTCATTCCATTAGGGGGCCCTTTAGTTTGCTTTTTTCATTTTCTTATGATTTTATGTTAGAAAATTGTATTGAAAGTTATTTTAAACTTAACATAAAATAGCATTCTTCCTAAAGGGAGTGTAAATGTATAAAAAGAGTGTAAATGTATAAAAATTAGCTTTATGTTCTTTCCTTGAGAAAAGATTTTCATAGTTCTTCAGTTAGTGGTCTTACACATATTTTATATGTTATGTAAACTTTTTGGTATATTATTATATTTGTAAATTATATACAGTAGACACACATTTTATAATATACTATTTCTTTGGCATATTTTATATGTATTATTATTTTCAAAGCTAACTTAGTGGAACTCTTTGGTCAAGGAGTTCTCGTAAACCTCCAAAAGTTCATAAACTTTGGATCTTTGGAAAGAATTTACTTGTATAATATAAGTGAACAGAAAACCAAATTTAATTTTAAATAAAATTATTTTTGTGTTTTTAAAAATCAATGTTACCATATGTATTAAAAGCCACTAATATTAAATAGGAAGAATAGTTTATGTAACTTATATAATGTAAGTTTTAAAGTTGGAATTTATATTCTCTAATATAATTACAGAAAGTAAGAAATTAATGTAAGATTAGAAAAACGTGGCCTTCTGCATGTGTTGTGGGCATTTTTATTTATTTTGGGTGTAGTGTTATGGTTCTCTTTTAGGCTTACAAGGTCTGAGGTTTAGGTTTAGTGCTCTTCAAATCAACCTCATTTTTTTAAAACCTTATTTTTTAATAGTTTTTAAAATTGATTTTAGACAGAGAGGAAGGAAGAGTGAGAGAGGGAGAAATATCTGAGAGAGAGAAACATCAATGGACTGCCTCTCCTACACGCCCCACTGCAGGGGACCAAGCCCGAAACGTAGGCATGTGCCCCGAGGGGATCAAACCGGGAACCTCTTGGTGCACAGGACAAAGCACAACCAACAGCACTCTGGCCAGGGCCAAATCAACCTCATTAAAAAAATAAAAATTAATTTTAAAAAGTAGCTTCCTGCTACATTACTATGAAGCACCTGCATATCATAGACATTTTTTTCAATATAGATTGTAACTTTTTTTGACACTCAACATATCTCCTATTTGTAATACTCCTGTTAATATAAATGTGAGCTGAATAATATATGCAGGGAACTATGAAAATCAGAATCCACAGGCCCTTTTTCTAAATCAGGTTCACATTAAAGATTAATTTAATTTAAACTCTGTATTTGGGTATTGTTTAGTAAAGTATGTCTTAAATTAGTACAGAAATGTCTCAAATGACATTCCAGTTTGACTTGGAAATCTGTGTGTCAATCGGAGCATTATTTAAGTTGAGTGAAAAAAGCAGTTAAGAGCAGAGGTAAAGGTATATGCATTAGTCTCGTGTAGCATTTCGAAGTCCACACTTTGACGCAGTGGATATAAAAATCAAGATTTGAAAACAGAAAAACCCATTATAATTCTGAACTTCTCAAAATCTATTTTCCTACCTTACTATTTCCTCTGGGTAGCAGTTGTTAATACTGTTGATATATTCTTGAAGAAGAGATCCAGGTTCTGCTTTTATCTCCTGAACCTTTTTAAGTCCACCACTTGTTACAAAAAGTCGTCGAGCTTTGCTGTCATGTGGCAACACCTGGAAAAGTGAAGCACATTAAAATGTCAGCTTTTCTTTTCCAAATTGGAGTGTTACTGAAAAGCAATAATCTATCCAAGGACATGTAAGAGAGAATTTGTGTCCAATATACTTGTAACATAATGAGCCTGAATTCGCTGATGATAAGAAGTAAGAATTAGTCTTTTTAGAAATGTATGAACTTTTTTGTTCAGATGAAATAAAGGCAGTGAACATGAGCAAAGGCAGTGGAGATCCACTCATACATATAAAACATAAAGTGGTTCCCCTCCTTTGCTGATACCTGTTCAAAATCTTTCCACTACAGACAAAATTAAAGGCAGGCATACTCCTTAACAAGGCCAGGAACGCCTCCTGTAACCCAGCTTCCTTTCCCACTAATCTGTTCACCAACTTTTGTTCGATAACCTCAAATGGTGCAGCTGGGCCATCCCTTGCCTTTGCCCATGCTGTTTCCTCTCCGAGAATGCCCTTTCCCCTCCTATCACCTCCCCCTTTTGCTTGGCTAACTCTTGCTTATGTCTTAAAATTCATTTCAGGTGTTACCTCCTTTAAGAAACTTTCTCTTATCCCAGGATGTTAGGAACTTTTCTTCTCTCGTAGCGTTTGGTTAAACCCCATGCACTTGCCACATAGTATTTTCATTATCGGTCTATATGGCTTTCACACATAAATATCCTGAAGGCAGAAACTGTGCATTCATTTATTCTCTAGTTCCTGGTGCCTAATAGATTCTCAATTAATGTTCAACAAATGAATGAATATACTAAGGAGCAGGCAGAGAAAGGAAATTGAGATAAACGAGAGAGAGAAGAAGAATCAGGAAAGTAAGGAATCAACAAATCCAAGAGAAGATTTTAAGAAGCAGCCAGTGAGGTCTAAGAAAGTCACTGGATCTGACAGTGGATGTTGGTGTGCTGAGAGGAAAGAGCCAGTGCAGATGAAGAAATTAATTGTGCAGGACAACAGACAAGGGGGGTCCTGGAGAGGGGGCTCACAGTGGGGATCCCACTCTTCCTTGGTCATTGTTACTATTCCTCTGACAGAAGCACCCTTTCTTTCCCCACTGTTCTTACACTTTCCACAAAACCAGCTTTTTTCACGTGCACCTCTTCCACTGAAGCCGTCCCGGAATACCTCAGACCGCGTCCACATATCCCTTCCTATGAAAACATTTACTATGAAGTCTAGCACGCTGAAGTATTCTCTAAGTGTTTCTTCTGGTCTCCCCAGCTAGGTTATGAAGTTCCTTGAAGAAGAACTTTGTCTCACTCTTTTTGTCTGTCCCTCAAAGCTTTACAGGGTACATGTAGGCACTTAACAAATACTTCAACCTACAAAAGGCTCTGGCCAATAGGATGTTACTACACATCACCTGGACAGTAAAATATCACATGAGTATATATTTAAAAAAATGGAATGGTCCACAGATACATCAGTTTTAAACATCTTACTGGCCTGGAGAGTTTTCATACCCATGTCTGCCCCCAGCCACAGTAAACTGTCCTTATACCTTCTGCCTTGCTTTCCCTTCTCTGTCTAGTGCTCTGGTGTCCTGAGGTTAAGAAAACACAAAATTCTGCCTGAAGCAAATATTCCCAAAGGCACATTTCTGAGTGTATAACACGAGGTACTATCTTTATTTTATCTTGGCTATCTATCCTTCCACAATCTCTCTGATTTATTTTTATTTACTTTAGTGACTGGTTTTTAACTCTTAATTTGGATCAGTGTTCATTTTTATAGCAAGTTCAATAAAACTAGAATATCTCAGTAGCCTAAAAGATTAGACTATAAAATGAAACTTTCAGAAATAATGTCACCTGCTCATTTTCGAGAGCTGATGACTGTCTATAGATGATCCACTCACTCCTTACTGCTCTCCGCCTCCCTTTAGCTGGTCAGTTTCTTACTAGAACTGGGGGTGGAGGAGAGTTTGTTTCTTTGTGTGCTCCTTTGAAGGAGGAAAGCAGGACACGAGTGTTTGATACACAGAACAGTATCCGGAGGCAGCTTCGGCAGTGGAAACCCACTGTCCAGTGGCTGTGGAGCCGAGGGGCAGCCACACTGCTGGAGATCTGGGAACAGTTCAGAGCAGCGCAGGCTACTAGTATCTTTCAGGTGAGAACCTAAAACTAGACCTGTTGAACTGTAGGGACTAGTTTACAAGTTATAACATTACAGAGTTTTGTTCATTATTTGCAGAAATAGAATATGCAGATAGTAGTACCTCTTTTATATAGTAGTATAACCTACTATTCAAATAAATTTGGCCTCCATTCATTTTTATTAGTTTTTTTTTTTTGTTTTTTTTTTGTACGTGCCCCTAGCGGGAACCGAATCCAGGACTCTCTGGTCCACAGGCCAACACTCCAACCACTGAGCCAAACCGGCCAGGGCCATTTTTCTTAGTTTTTTAATCAGCCTTAACTACTTCCATATTTTATATCTTAATAAGATCTTTGTGTGGTGTGTGTGTGTTCATGTGTCTGTCCATCCACACACTTACACGTGCCCGGGACTGAGCTAAACTTTTCATATAAAATCTCATTTAACTTTACAGTGACCCTGTGAAATAGGTACTCTTATTATTCCCATTTTATGGGGAATCATACTAAGGTATAGAAAGGTTAAGACTTTGATAAATATATTACAACTGGTAAATGTAAATCCAGGTCACCCAACTGCACAGCCTGAGCTCAGAGCCACTACAGATACTACTTCCACAGACCCATCTTCTTAAACCAGATCTCCTGTGTGCGATTTGAACCTGTGTTGATGGCTTAGGGTCGCCATCGGGGGCTGTGCAGTGCGGTCATTCTCAGCCTTTGCTATGAGTAATCCATCCTGCTGGCTCACTGCTAGCAGGTTGACCTTCCTACCTTACTACATTAAATCTTCAATAATCTGAGAAATGTAACAGCTACATTTGTTAAAATTGTTATAAATCAATAAACTACAGATGACTGAGAGCACCTCTGGTAAGTGAATGGACTTTGTGGAAAGTATTTCAGGGGCTCAGAGGCATTTCTCCTTTTTTTTAATTTTATTTCATTTTTTCCATTGTCATTTATCTGCTCCATGCCCTCTTCCACCTCCACCCAACCCCCGCACTCACCAAACTTTTTTTTTTTTAATGTTTCTATTGATTTTCTAGAGAGAGAGGAAGGGAGAGAGAGCTAGAAACAGCGATGCAAGAGAAAAAGATTGATTGGTTGCCTCCTGCACGCCCCCTACTGGGCATTGAGCCAGCAACCCAGGCATGTGCCCTGACCTGGAATCAAACCGGAACCTCTCCGTCCACAGGATGACACTCAATCCACTGAGACACACCAGCCAGGCAAACTCTCCTTTTCTTTATAAGATCTTTGCAGTGTTCCCAGATGAGTGAGACTAACAGACCAGGAAAATTACTAGAAGTTACTTATCAATAGAAATTATCTGTATTATGAGGTTTTTAATGTGTTGATATACTAACTACTCCCCAAGAACACTAAAATGACAGTTCAGAGACTGTGAGGAAGAAGAAAGTATGAATTATGTATGTGTGAATTTTATTAGTCTATGTTCCCATCCCTGTCAATACAGTCAGTGAAAGTCAAGTAGGAGAACTCTGACCCTGTCTTACAGAAGAAAACATAGACCCACCAGAAAAAAAACAAATTAATTTATTTTCATTTTCTTCCCCCACTTGCAGGCTAAGAGCACTTCTTACCTTACTGAACTGTCCAACCACATGCTTCAGAATATTGGGAGGAGCATCATATAGAAATGGCTCAAGGGCTGGTAAATAGGTGCATTTTTGTAAGATACTCTTGATGGCTTTTTTACTCTATTGAAACACAAAGCAAAATACATACCAAAGTAAGCATTCAATGAAAGCTTGACAAAAATTCATGTCTCAGGTTTCTGGAATTTGAAATGAAATCAATTTCCTGGTCTAAGCTGCAGTTGTTTCATTTTTAAAAAATAGTCGCCACCATCAACTTACACCATACACAAGAATAAACTCAAAATGGATAAAAGACTTAAATGTGACTCATGAATCCATAAAAATCCTAGAAGAAAATGTAGGCAACAAAATTTCAGACATCATACGCATCAAAATTTTCACTGATACATCACCTAAGGCAACAGAAACCAAGAAGAAAATGAACACATGGGACTACATCAAAAGCTTCTGCACAGCAAAAGAAACCACCACCAAAATGTAAAGGCAACCCACTCTGTGGGAGAGCATAATTGCCAAGGATACAACAGATAAGGAGTTAATTTCTAGTATATATAGAGAGTGCTCCTACAGCTCAACAAAAGGAAGACAAAGAACCCAATTAAAAAATGGGCTGAAGAGCTAAATAGACACCTCTCCAAACAGGACATACAAATGGCTAAGAGACATATGAAGAAATGCTCAACATCGCTAATCATAAGAGAGATGCAAATTAAAACAACAATGCAGTATCACCTCACACCTGTCAGAATGGCTGCCATCAATAAATCATCAAACAACAAGTATTGGCGAGGGTGTGGAGAAAAGGGGACTCTAGTACACTGCTGGTGGGAATGCAGACTGGTGCAGCCACTATGGCAAACAATATAGTATTACCTCAAAAAATTAAAAATTGAACTTCTATTTGACCCAGTGATCCCGCTTCTAGGAATATACCCTAAGAAGCCTGAAACACCAATCAGAAAGAATATATGTACCCCCATGTTCATAGCAGCACTATTTACAATCGCTAAGATCTGTAAGCAACCTAAATGTCCATCAGTGGACAAATGGATAAAAAAGCAGTGGTACATATACACAATGGAGTACTATGCAGCTGTAAGAAAGAAAGATCTCTTATCCTTTGAGACGACATGGAGGGACCTAGAGAATATTATCCTAAGCGAAACAAGCCAAATATCACATGATCTCACTTATTTGTGGAATATAATGAACATAACAGTCTGAGGAACGGGGTAGTCCCAGAGACATGGAAGTGGGGTACAGACTGACAGTCCCCAGAAGGAGGTAGTGGGGGAAGAGATAAACCACAGAACTTATATGCATGTATGCATGAACAATGAATGGACATGGACAACAAAGCTTGGCACAGGGTGGGGAGGGGGGAATCAATGGGGGAAAAAGAAACATCTGTAACAAAAATAAATAAATAAATAAAATAAAATAAAAATAGTTGCCAGAAAAACTCCTTCTGTCTTTCACTGATTTCATAGAATACCCTGCCATTTATCGTTGTCAACTTTTAAAATGTATAGTGTATTATTGAGTTCTTACTATACATAACTATGAGGAAATTAAAATTATTAATCATAAAGCTATAGACTGCAAATTTATATGTATTGCATTTTATTATAAACATTTGTATATATGAAGCTGTGAGATAACTAATGCCCTATTCCTTCAATCAGCAAATGTGAGAAAATACTTAGAATGCCTGATAACGGCTTTCTCTAGTAAACTGTGTTCTCCAGAAGGCTTCACGTCTTTTAGGTATGTAGTCAGAAATACTCTACGGTGTGCATTATTCAGTGAGCATTTGCAGGTATTCTGCTATAGATCACAAGTAGAAATAGCTTCATTCAGCTCTGGCCAGTTTGGCTTGGTAGTTATAGAGTCAACCACGGGTCTGGGGTTCAGTTGCTGATTAAGAGCACATACCTGGGTTACAGGTTCAATACCCTGCCCAGGTTGGGTTCGTGGGAGGCAACCAATGGATGTGTCTCTCTCTCATCAGTGTTTCTTTCTTTCTCTCTCTCACTCTTTCTCCCTCTCCCTATCCCTTACCCCCCCCCTCCCACCTCCTTCCCATTCTATCTAAAAATCAGTGGGAAAATATCCTCTGGTGGTGCTCTCTAAAATTAATTAAATTTATGGTTTTCCAGAGACCCAGGCTAAACAGTCTTGTAATCTCTTGACATATTTGTCCTCAAGTAGATTAAATGAAACAATGAATTAAGTAATGCAGCCCAGGTTTACTCTGCAAGTAGTATAACATGTTGGAATTAAACTTTCAATTCCCAACATATTTAGTTACCTTTGTGAACCATGTTGGGATCAAGGTGACTAGCAGGTCAACAAATTAAACTTAACTGGTGACAAGGTGTACTAACAGTAGAACAGAGATCATATTCACTGTACCATGTAGATTGTTCCAAATGGGTGATATACTGTCAAGTTATTGATCAAGAACCCTAGAGGATTCAAACTTATAATGACACTAGAAATTCACTGAGCTTTACTAGCTTTTGTTAAGAAAAATACTAGATTTATGACTATATATACTTCTAGAGAGGATGTCCATTTGTATGTCATGATTAATAAACAGCTGTATTGTCCAGCATGAAAGAAATATCAGTATATTAAGATTGTGTTTATTTGTCAATTACTGGGCTTAAGATTTTTAACAACTTTGAGATATAACTTACATACCATAAGTTAATTCATTTTAGGTGCACAGTTCAGTAGGTTTTTTTTTAGTAAATTTACAGAGATGTGCACCATCAACACAATCTAATTTTAGAAATTTTCATCATCCCAGAAAGAAACTTCATGCCCATTTGTAGTCATTCCCTCATCCTTCACCCCACTTATCCCCACCATCCCCAGGCAACTACTAATCTAATTCCTGTTTATAAATTTGACTTTTCTGGACAATTTATATAAGTGAAATAATACATGAGAATGTTTTAGTCTGGCCTTCTTCACTTAAGTACAATTAAAAAAAATTTTTTTTCTTTGTTGGTTTTAGAGAAGAAGGGAGAGGAAGAGAGAGATGGAAACATCCATGAGAGAGAACATCGATTGACCGCCACCTGCACGCCCCCGGCTGGGGATTTGGCCCACACCTGGATATGTGCTGTGACCAAGAATCAAACCGGTGACCTCTTGGTGCATGGGTCAATGCTCAACCACTGAGCCACACGGGCCAGGCTAAATACAATGATTTTGAGGTTTATCCATGTTATAACATGTATCAGTACTTCATTTCTTTTATTGTTAATAGTATTCCATTACACAGATTTATCCCAATTTATTGAGCCATTCACCAGTTGATGGACATTTGAGTTGTTTCCATATTTGTCTGTGAAGATTCATATACAAGTCTTTGTGTAGACAAATGTTTCCATTTCTCTTGGGAAGATACCTGGGAATGGAGTTGTTGGGTGCTGATGATAAATTTATGTTCAACATTTTGAGAAACTGCCAAACTGGTTTTCAATGTACCTGTAACATTTTACATTCACAATAGTAATGTAAGAAGGTTCAAGATTCTCCACATGATGGTCAATACTTGTTATTGTCCATTTTAGTAATTATAGTGATTCTTGTGGGTGGGAAGTATTACCTTATTGTGGTTTAGATTTGCATTTCCCTAGTGACTAATGATGTTTGACATCTTTCCATGTGCTGATTGGTTATTTGTATATCTTCTTTGGTGAAATTTCTGTTCAAATCTTTGCCTAATGTTTGGGTTATTTGAATTATTTAGTTGTAAGAGCCTTTATATATTTTGAATATAAGTCTTCTCAAATATGTGATTTGCAAATATTTTTTCTGAGTCTTTTCATTTTCTTTTTTTGTTTTTGTTAATTCTCACCTGAGGATATTTTTCCATTGATTTTTATTTTTTTGGGGGGGACATCAATGTGAGAGAGGCACATTGATTGGTTGCCTCCTGAATGACCACACTATCTTTATTACTGTAGCTTTGTAGTAAGTATTGAAATTAGTCAGTGTAAGTCCTTTTTTCAGATAATCTGGGTCCTTTGCATTTCCATGAGAGTTTTAGAATCAGATTTTCAATGGGGGGTGGGAGAGGGAAGCCATCTGGGATTTTGATAGAGATTGTGTTGAATATAGATCAATTTGGGGAGTATTACAATATTACTCCCCAGTATTAACAATATTGAATCTCTCAATCCAATGAACATGGAACGTCTCTCCATTCAGATTTTCTTTAAATTTTTAAGCAGTGTTTTGTAGTTTTCAGTATACAAGTCTTACACTTCATTGGTTAAATTTATTCCTAAGTAATTTTTCTTTCTTTTTTTTTTTTTTGGTACGTGCCCCTAGCGGGAACCGAACCCAGGACTCCCTGATCCGCAGGTCGACACTCCAACCACTGAGCCAAACATGCCAGGGCAATAATTTTTCTTTTTGATGCTACTATTATGAATAAAACTATTTTCTTAATGTCATATTTGATTGCTCATTAAATAAAATTGATTTTTATATTTTGATCTTATATCCTGTTATTTTGTTGAACTCTTATTACTTCTAGTATTTGTGTGTGTGTGTGTGTGTGTTCCATAGGATTTTCTACATACAAGATCATGTCATATGTTGGATTAAAAAATTTGATAGCCTTTAGTAAATGTGCCTTGGGTAGGTGATTTATAGCTATGAGCAAAATAGTTTTTACTTTATACTTTGAAAAATTATATGAAGTCAACCAACCCTTTTATTTACTTAAATCAGTAAATCAAGTAATGTCTTACTTTGAACTAATGAATAACAGATGCTATATTTTGTTAATTGTCACTGTAGTTAGTGTTTATCAGTAGTCATGCATAATATATGATATCGGAGAAAAGGAGTCATGGGCTATCTATTTAAGGGCAACTTGAGTTTGAGCCTGGTTTTCCTATGAACTAGCATGGCATCTACAGTTCTATATTCATTCATTTTCTGTCATTTCTAAAAACTGTCCACATTGATCATAGCTGTTGTATAAACCTCAGCGACTAGCAACACTATATTACCTTTTAATACACATAAATTGTATTGACGATTTTGTTAATTGCTAACACTTTATACCATTT